CCAGAAACACAGTCATTAAGCGGATAGAAGTGGCAGAGAGGGAATAACTGCCTGTCTCTGGCAACTCTCTTTGTTCATCATAAACAAAAGCAAGAAACCTCCAATTACCTTTTAAACAGTGGAGGGGAGATACAGAAAACCCTTGACCAGGCTGGGCACACCAGTACTTCACAACAGCTAAGAAAGCAAGCTAGTTCTACAGTGAGGGACCCCCAAAGACCAACCCTTCTTCTCCTATGGAGACAAGCAGTCTGGTAAGAACATCGTGCGGAAGAACCTAGTACAAAGAGCAGGAAAAGCTGCCGTTACGAAGGCTAAACATGATTTCCCAAATACAATTCAGAGAAGGTAGCTTTTTAGAGGATATGAACACAGCGAAAGCCAAAAAGACTCGAGGCAACTTCTGCTTAAATGGAAGGCCATTTGTCCATCTCGTCTCTGCGACTCGCTTGTCAAGCACACGCACCTCTCACCAAAATGTAGCTGAGGGTAAACTCCATTTATCCACCTGTAATTTGAGCGCTGCCGCAGTTACCCATTTACCACCACCCAGCCTGGACCACTAAACAAACAGGTTTGCCTGCTTTCCCACGGCTTAGCCAGAGATAATTCTGCAAATGCCACAGTAAGAACAGAGAAGTTCAACATCACAGAGACGGGTGCTAATCGCTTCTGCAACCTCCAGCTTTTACCCAGCATTAGGCCCACAGCTAGGAAGAACACTAACAAATTGAAAAGGCAAAAAAACAGTACTACGGATCAGAACGGATGAAGGAAACGCTGCTTACCCTGAAGAAAGAAGATGAGAAAATAGACAAAGTACAGAGATGAGTCCTGGAGAAGGTGACCTGAATTACAGCAGTTCATGGGGCGGTACCCTCGGAGGGTCACCCTCCAAGTACATAATTAGTGCCAGGCCTGAGAAAAAAAACACTGTTACTAAGTTAATGCAGCCAAGGGGAAAGGGGGGAGCTTGGGAATTGGGTGGACAGGGCACAGAGGGTACATTTTCTTTCTTAATATAGAAGGAGCAATGATGAAAGAAGCAGACTTTCCTCACCCACAGCCAAGTCCTGGCGAAAATCAAGAGAAGCCACTGTAGAGATCAACTCAGAAGATCACTGCTGCTTTGGTAGAGTGGTAAGGCCTGAACAGTGCAGATAGCTTCCAAGGAAAAGCAATTTTTCTTTAAAAGGTGAAGAACAAAGGGGTTTTTTTCCCCCTCCCTTCTTTCCCCTCACCCCCTCCCGCCCAAATAAAGTGTAAACATTCAATCCCAACACACTGAATTCTGGCTACCCTTTGTGTGGCTGAACGTGCCAAATTCATGCTAATCTACACAGAAGAATATTATTCCCATTATGCAGTATATCATCTGTAAAAGTGAAACAAAATACAGAATTAAAATAGATGGAAGATGAACAATAAAGGGATTAAGATTTAAATTGTTAAGATTTACTCTGAAAAATCATATTTTATTCTAAAACTACATATATAACAATGTATTTGAAAACTTTGTTCTTCACTTTTAAGGCCATGTTATACTGAAGAGCCCTGTAGCTTGAGTTAGGCTGTGCTGTCACATCAAAGTACACCTGGAAGGAAGCAGCAGATGTGGGAGGGGGGAGAAAGAAGTGTGTAGCGTGGAAAGCTCAGAAACTATCTCCACTGAAGAGGAAAGAAAGACAAGTTAGATGAAGGGGAGGGGGGGAAACATTAAAACACACCAACTGTGAAGAAAAGACTGGGAACAGACTTTGCTTGTAAACCAGATCAGTAACAGCTGCCCTTACGCTTCATCACAGTTAATGAAGACTTTCATAATTGCCTTAGTAGTCAAAATGAGCATATCCCCACGATATATATACACACACATATATATTTAAACAAAAGAATGATAAACCATGCTAATATATTCCAATTCCTTTAAGCAGAAGTTAAATAATATTCTGTTTAAGAATACAAATTTAAGGTCAACAAGCCCCTAAAATGACAGGCTCGGAAGTTGCTAGCATGAAAATACTGAATGTTTATGAGGACATAGAGATTCCAGAGAAGAAGTAGTTATATACAGTTCATTATAGTTTCATAGTTAAAATGTGACTGTGTTTAAAAAAACAGAGAACAAAACCAGAAAGCACACACACTTACTGTGTCTATGCTATCCCTGAAAACCCGGCAGCCTGTTATTCCTAATAGCTTAAAGCACCTGCATCTACAGAGCACCTTGCACCCAAAACCATGCTTAAGTTACCAAAGGCCTTACAACACACGCAGACAAGCACTATTTTCATGACTAACTCTGTGAAGGCCACTTTCCCTTTCTACCTCCTTGCTTTTCCACCTGAACTCCTCCAGCCTGATGCACTGCCACGCAGTTCCTCAACCTAAGGTAAACTGTTGAAATGGGAACCCACCATGAAGCTAAAAAACCAAAATCAAACAAGAAAACACACTCAACCCACAGAAAACAAAATACAGTGGCAACCTACGACTTACCCTGTGAGGGATCAGAAATTAAATGATGATACTTAGTTCACACAGCGAAGAGCATTACCAACAGGGCATGGTCTGATTAACTAAAATTACAAAAAAGCTTCTTGAAGTTTTGACCAATAACTGGATGGATCCTTCTTCATCAAAAAGCAAAGCACTCTGAACTGAAGAAGTAGGTGGATGCTTAATGTTTTGGCTATGTATGTTTTAAATAAAGGAGGCCTCAATATATTTCCTTTTAATCAGGAAATATGCTTATAGACATATATTTATCATGCATTCTGAACAAATCCTATACCATTGCTCTCCCCACAGAGAACAATCCAATTCTCCCTGCAGAAAGCAGAAACGTGGGACATGTATGTTTGAACACTTCAGTAGTGAGTGCCGTAATTAAGCCTGCCTCTTCATGAAAGATCATCAAAGGGCGCCAGGGGAAAAAAGTAAGCCTCAGGGGCACAGTCTGTCTTCTGTGATCCTCCTTCACTGGAATCCCTCCCACGCCAATCTGGGAAGAAATTGTACCCTACTTTATAAAAAAGCAGGTCCAAAGCCAAAGTCTGTTGCACTGGGAAGAAAATCAGCACCTAGCTAGAGCTACCTCACCATCTAGGACTTGCCATTATGCAAGACAGACACGCACCCATTCAAGGACGGGATTGATATTCACATAGTGCTTCACTTTGCCTTGGGTCTTTAAGGGAAACTGCTGAAACCTGTACAATGCAATAAGCTAAGCACAAGTCTCTGAACTCTGAAAATTACTCGTGGTTTTGTCTAGCCTCTTTCTGCCATATGCCAGCTGTCTGCAACTAGCCCTCCCACATGCATTGGCTAGTCAGTCATGATCTCGTGTCATACTTCAGCTGGATCTGTGTTAGCATCCTTTCTGTACTCTGCAACTCCCACCTCCTTCACTGCAGTTCTCTGAAGCAAAAACCGCCCACTCCTCTGTCCAAGAGCCTCTGTATTTAATTACCGTGCTTTGGACTGTCATAATCCATACATATTAATCTTAGAGCTTTATTCAAGTCTGTCCAAGCATTCCCTTTCAACTGCATGTTGTTACTGCAACATGGCAGGGCTACTGGATGATCAGAAATAAGATTTGTGTTAGGTTTTTTGTATACTTTTACATAGTCAACGACAGCATTTTCGTGTTAGATTGTTTTGCCATTAGTTAATTCTCCATACCATGGATTCTGCTCAAAATGTCAGCTGCTGTGCTGCACAATACTACTACACATATTCAGAACAAAAGTTTAGGAAAAAAGAAAACCCACTTCCTTCCAAATAATGGCTGATAACTGAAGTCAGTCCCCTCTCGCTTTCCGGGCCTCCACTATGATCAAGTCACTAGGAAGAAGTAGTTTTCCTAAAAGCTGCAGCTCTTTTGTCAACATAATGCCTTAACTGCAAACAAGTGTAGTAACTCAAGTTGCCAGTTTCCACGTGGTTGAAGAATGCGAAGGTCTACAGCAACATTCCTAAGTGTCTTCGTTTCAAATACTGAGTGACACATTTTGAAATCTAGTTCTTAATTTGTAATAAGTACTGTAGAAAATAGACAACAGAGAAACCCTGTGAAGCAGGAAATGGACCTCCTGCATGATGCAGAGAGGCAGCAAGGAGACTGCCAGCATGACAGCAAGTACTGTATAGCCTTGCAGCTAATAAATAGGAATGACCTAAGGCTACATGCACTTTGACCCTCAAATCTGCAACATCAAAAACCGCAGAGGTTCTCACTTCATTTTATTACTCAGTAAACAAGAGAGATGGTTACAATCAAGGTGTGTTACAAGTCAAAGCAGAAGATGAATACGGTACATCACATCTTTCATTCTGAAGCATTCAGCATTTTATTCCTTGACTACGCTTTTGTGTACCAAACACATGCAGTTGTGATGTAAGGCCAGTCATTCTCCCCTCTGCAGTCAGGGATCTGGCTCAGTACACTTCCAGTCACCTTGTACATTCCCAGGCTTTATACCGGCTCTAAGCCTAACGCATGATCTCACTCCTTCTCCTAGGTTAACTGAAGAAATCACCTTACATTAGAAAAGAAGCAGCTAGGGAAGAAAAGGTATATTTAAACGTCCATGCAATGGGAAATGATATACTGTATTTCGTGCAAGATAGTATTTCTCTATTTTAAAAAAGAAAAAAGAGAGTATGTGTGGGTGGGGGAAAGGAAAAACATTAAGAAGCTGTCATTTTTTCTAAATGAAAATATTCATAAAGTTTTTTTTTTCAGTGGTGCTCTTATTTCTTAGGAGCACTGATTGCAGTAGAATGGGAAAAAACCAAACCCATACAACTCCATTCACATACCTGCTAGACTTTAAAAACTGTTCTAGTATGCGATAGCTTACTATAAAATACATTAGTAGGAAGATTATTCAAGAGAAAAGAATTGTTTTTATCTTGCTGTTTTAAAAACTGAGTATGAGAAAATGAACACATTTAGGAAGCTGATGTAATGTACAAATTGAAATACTTACTGCGTAGGAGCCTATGAGGAATGCAGCATTTGCTTGTTTTTTCTGATCAAAGCCAGTATAATGGATTATTTTCTTCCTTATCAATGAAAATGACTGTATCAAGAAATGAACAAGATTATGATTTTGCATTTTAGACTTTTCATGCCTTCTTTTATAAAATTAGAGGAATGCAAGGGTCTGTTCACCTACTTTCAGCCACCTGTATTCAGAGGACCAAGTATACTTTAGACTAGTGCCTCAAAAACTTTGGAAGACTCTATTGCATCCCTCTCTAGATTGTTCCAGTATTTTTCCCAGTATCCAGTCTAAATCTTTTTTGACACAAATTACAGTGATCTTTCTTGTTCTCCTTAAATGCATTTAGTATTTCTGACTTCAAGCCCCATGTAACAGATAGGCGTTTATGAGAAGTAAATACAAAGTGGCATTCTCAAAAACATCACAGGCATACTGAAGTTGCAATAGTTTTGAAAACAGAATTTAGACTTTTTTTATTCTTATAGAAAACCTGACTCTAGATAAATCAACTAATAGTTGTTTCTAAGGATCAGAACCACTGGAAAATATATGCTTAGATTAAAATATTTTGAAAGTATTTCTAAACTTTATGATAAGTAACTTTTTAAAATTTCATTTCATCTTGGCATATAGTTTCTCCAATTATCTTAGAAACCGGGTGGAATGGCATTGCCAATAGAAAGGACACTTACATCTGTGGTGGCAGCAAAAACTATCCCCTAACTGGCCCTCGAAACAAATTCTGATGCACTTGAAACTGTATACTTCGATCAACTGCTAAGCTGTCATAAAATGTCACTATTTAAATAGCAGTGTTACTTGCTCAGGTGCTATTCAACGCACTCAAGACAAATAAACCCCAGACCACTAGCAGTAGTATGTTCTCAGCAATCCTAACACATATCTCCAATACCAAACCCAAGATATTCAAAGGGACTATAATATTGTGTTGCTTCAGAGCATCCTGTAAACAAAAATCAGAGAATCTTGTCTCCGGCAAACCTGTTCGTAGTGCCACAGGGACAAAGCGAATTATGCAAACTCATACCAGTGACAGATATCAAGGCATAAAAAAAAAAAAAATCTCTGTTAAACTATAATGTTCTGCATACTTCCCAATTTTCACAGTTCAGTGGCAGTTTCAAGATCTAAGCAGTTTTGAAGAGGCAAACTGTGATTCACATTAATGCTAATAAGCTTTTTTATCTGCCTAACAGGTTTTATACTCCAACATCTGTTAGAGGTCAACTAACTTGAAGTCATTCATGTTAATTAACGTAGGAACTCTCTGTTTTAAAGACACTACGCTCTATCAAGAGCCCAATCCCAAAAATTACTGAGCACCCCTCAGAGAAGATAATCTTTTAGGAGCTTAACATTAGTTACTGCCATTAGTGGTGCATCTTCTAGATCTTAAAAGTAAGTGGGTTTTCCCTCCTGATCCTCCTCCTCCCTAAATTCGCCTTGATAAAATGTAGCGTTCATATTCAAAACTCAGCTGGATGAGAAACCCAGGAAAGCACTTGAACAAAAAAAACTTTTGGTCCATTTGTTTTTGTTCTTTAAAAAGTCAAGAATATTGAATAAAAAAAGCAAGTCTTACCTTTAATTTCTTATTTAGCTTGCAGCAGTATCTGTAGACCATTGCCAGATTGAGTGGTCCAAAGTCTGCATAGAAGCTGACAGAAGAAAGGGAAAAAATTGTACTTGACCTCTGTAAATGCCTTTTTTTAAAATCAGATGCACAATGCAAGGAGTAATAATATATATGTGATATATTTACATCGTTCTAAAAACAAGAATGCCTTCTTACATCCATGCTATTTTGTTGGAGGAAACAGTTTTGTCATCTTTAAACAGGGACTAAAACTTTTTTCTTTGTTTTCCACACACCACCACTCAAAACCAAACTGGAATACTCAAGGTTTTTAAAAATTCTCACTACTGTATCACTCTGTGACACCAGTTTAGAAACCCTATTTTAAGAGCAACCCAAACGCTTTACTTTAAAAGAAGGCAATTAATATTGCTGGAGAAAAGTGAACACAGAGAATAAAGATTGATTAGTACTTTCAAAAACAGTAAGCATGCCCTTGGTCAAAAATATTCAAAGAATTAGCAGCATTCCAGATCACACACAAAGGCATATACTGTTCACTACAGGGGAAATAATATATCCATTGTCGGCTCATAAAGGCTTGAAATGATTTTGCCAGTTTTTTCTCTTATTCTAGGAAGTGTAGACATTCCACTTAATGCTTGAGCAACCAAAGACATCCCCTTCAGTTCAGCAGTCCAGTGCGCACTTCTGAATATATTTTGTTGCATCATGTTCCTGTGCCTTCTAGACAAGAATGGGTACAAGGAAAGCTTCTGCTTTGAAAAGATTTTTAAGAAATCCTGACGGGAAGCCAAGAAACCAGTCTAAGACATATAAATCATCATGGCAGATAAGTCTGAGAGGACCAAACTCGTGTAATTAGTTCTGTAATGGGAATGTATGTTTCCCTCAGCTATATTTAAAAACAGAATGTCAATTAGACTGGTTCCTCATTGCTGTTGTTCTGACTAATTTATTTCAACGATCTGTAAAAACCAGGAAAAACTAAGTCTGTACTTACTTCTCATACACAAGTTCATCATCTATGCAGAAATAATGGGTATTTGCAGCTCCACTCTTTGGTTTTTGGCAGAGAATTGCAAAATAAAGGCGATCTGAAATGCAAGAACAGTTAAAGCTTTTATAAACATCATACTTTTCTGCTGGAAGGCTGAAGTATTACCTGTCAATAGAGCAACTTCAAATGGTTTAAAATGAACCAAATCTTCTTTCAAGTACTACCGAACTAGACATTATTATTTCTCCGGTGTTAAGCAACAAGGCGCACAAAGATTGAGGCTTTTTGCTCAGCAGTGTTCCCGTAATCCGCAGCTCTGTAGTACGCTTTCCCAAACAAAGTGTTCCCAGGAAATCTACCTGTTTTGACGACTTTGCAATACAGCAGGAGCCCGACTTGCACCCACGCACACAGCAGAGACCCACCTCCTTTCGGCAACAGACCCCACCTGTTGCACTCCGAATACCACCACACCACACCCCCCCCAACTAAGCCACAAATCCCTCAGCACCTCACAGCCCCTGCGTTAAACTAATCGGCGAAGCGCGCTGGCGCCGAAACACAGGCACTTCCCATCTTTCCGTAAAACGATGATTTCGGCAGTAGTGGTGTGCAATTAAAGCCTGCAGGCGACAGACGCCGGAGGGATGCGAGGGGGCGAGGCGGCAGCGGGCTGCCGCCCGCGGGAGCACCAGCGGAGCCACCAGCTGGACATCCCATCCCCATCCCCACCCCGGCTGCTCCTTCAACGCCTGCGTCCATGCAGGCAGGAGGCACCTTGGTTTGCCCTGGTTTCCTTTGTTAAGCTGAGGGGAAAAAAACGCCAGCGGTATTCACATAGATATCAATTATTTTTACGGCCAGGGGAGCTGCAGCCCCAGTGAACTTTAAACACCGACTGTGCTGCTGCTGCAGATTGCTGTGCTTGCGGTAATTGGCCAATAAAAATTGAGGCCTTGCAGCACCACAGCAATACTTT